TATACATTTTTGCATTAGATTATATACATCAGTTGGACAACCAGGTGGACGCTCCATTCGATTTCCAGCCTTTTGAAATAAAAAATAATTAATTTATTCAAATGATATTCGTTGTACTTACTCGAAGGTGATCAAATACTTGACAAAGCTCTATCTTTGGATATGGACTAGCACCATATGTAGCAATTTCCCAGAGAAGAATTGAAAAACTAAAATATAAATCATAGTATATAATATTTGGTGCAACTATATCACCCATTTATGTAAAAAGTTCTCTATATCGACGTTATGCCTACTGCAGTGGTTTAAGGATCTAGTTACAAGAGAATCTCCTCAGATGTTCTCTTTTGATTTGTATAATTCTTGTCTATCTGTTCTACATAATATTTTAATAAAAGACTAAACTGTCAAGTTTTTTCTTGATGTCCTGGTTTTCGGAAAAATTATATTTTAGAAATTCAATCTGAAACTTTACTCAGATGACGAACTCAGTTTGACGAGCTTCCATAAAAAAATTCAGGAATTTTGAACAAAGTCTTTTCAAGATATCAACCTCCATCATCCTGAAAGCCTCCTATCTTGAAGATATTCTGTTCAAAACTTTTGAATTTTTATTGAAAGCTGATCCAGCTAAATTCTCTATATGAACAAAGTTTCAGATCGAAATTCGAAAATACGATTTTTTTCAAAAATTTGGGGTCTCTACAGAAAACTCGATAACGTAGTTAAATATCAATAGAAACTCAAACTCTGTTAGGGCTCTTATTAGAACATTATGTAGCATCTATAAGCAAAAGCATCATTGACATTGGAAGGGGAGATCTCAAAAGATTTCCTAGTATGCTGTAGAGAGTGTGAGTTCTAGTCTTCTGTTCACCTCTACTTGCATTCACTCAAAAGACATCACTTTTTTCAATATTTTCTTTTCCGTCTTTCTGCGGCTAAACGGTTCCTTTGTTAGTAGACAGCTTATATTGTTGGTCCGAAACGAAAATGAATAGAATATTATTTCATTCTATAACTTACCTCCATACATCAGATTTTGTTGAAAATTGATTTCGTTCTAACCCTTCAGGTGCTTGAAAAATAAAAGAAATAAAAGTTTACAAAAAGTAATATTGTTTATTCTTCTTACCTGTCCATTTAATTGGAAATTTAGCACCATGTTTAGCTGTATAATGATCTTCACATTTAACAAGACGAGCTAAACCAAAATCACCAACTTTAACAACATGATTATCTCCAACAAGACAATTTCGTGCCGCTAAATCTCTATGAATAAAATTTTTTGCTTCTAAATAAGTCATTGCTGAAGCAACTTGTCCAGCCATATACATTAATACAGTTGATGTTAATTCAGTACGTGGTCGTCGTTTTAAATAATCAAGTAAACAACCATGTGCCATAAATTCAGTTATAATATAATAAGGTGGCTCAAGTGTACATATACCAAGTAATTGTACAAGATTTGGATGTTTTAAATCTTTCATAACATCAGCTTCTTCTAAGAAATCTTGTAAACTCATTGTTTCTTTTAATGTTTTAACAGCAACAACTTTATTATAACGTTTCCATAATGCTTCATAAACTTCACCATATTGTCCGCCGCCTAATTTTTGTTTCATAGCTATTTCTGATCGTGGAATTTCCCATTTATCATCTATTTTAAATAATGCTGGTTGAATTTTATGTTTATTTATTGGATAAAGTAATAGATGAACAAGACCATCAGTTGTTATTGAATGATGATGAATTAATTGTTGTAATGTTGAAAAACGTAATTCAGTTGAAACATAATATTGACCGTTTTCATCTGTATTTATACGATAATGATATATGCGACCATCATATCGAAGACTAATAGATAATTGACCTGGAACAGTTTCACTATCACGTACAAGAAAACCTTAAATAAAAATTTTAAATAATTAAAAAGTATGTTCTTATTGGTTTTCTTAATTATAACAACTATATAATTTAGAAAGATGACAAAAAATGTCAGTTTGTTCGTAGAAGCCTAGCATCAAGTTTGCACATCAAATGAAATATAGCGAATAACGTCAAATTTTAGTCAACATCATAAAAGTTACTACTTGCAGAATTGTTCAAAGCCTTTTAGGAGTCTTAGCGTAGCTTCATGGGTAACCCTATGATTTCACATTGGCATGTAGATTTAATCAAATTAGAGCTTCAGCAATAATTGTAACTTTGTAGGGTTCTATATAATTTTATGGGTTTCTGTTTGATTTCACAGGTCATTTGCATAAGGAGAGAGTCTATGAATATTCATCAGTGTCAACTCCTTCTTTTCCATTTGATATATATATATACAGCGATATTATATAATGATGCTGTGCTGTGATATTGGAAGCCTAAGAAAAGTAGAGCATACTCGATGACCTAAGAAAGCGAGAAGATTTTAAAAATTATCATCTACATAAACGCTTATGAAGAAACGTTTCTAAGTGTCAAATCATTTTTGAATTGAAACTATGTACATCATCTAGACTCTAACAAGCTAATATCTTACTACTACCGACGTTCTTCTCAGAAACACTAGGAAAATAGATTATCAAATTTTAAATTAAAACTTATCATAGGGACAAACTTCTATGAGATTATCTTATTGTAAAAGTTTCAGATTTTTCAATTGCATCTATTCTGAAATAAGAACATTGGAATTTAGTGTTTATACATGAGCAACGTGAAAAATATGTTTTTACTGTAGCTGTACCTTTGAATAGAAGAAATCAAAGGATCTGAAACTTGCACAATAAAATACTCTCAATAAGATCTCGCTATGCAAAATTTCAAGTCTCACTTTGAAACTCAGTTTTTATTGATGTTCCTGAAAAGGACCGTTCAGCAGTAGTAAATTATTAGCCTGAACTCTTTTCAATGTATTCATAGCTCCTTAGAACCTATAGGATGCATATCGTCACGACTCAAAAGCGATTTAATGCTTAAAAGCATTACCTCATTCGCCTGTAACCAGAGGATTAATAGAGGCGAATTTTATCTTTACTTTCTAGTCTTATAAAGCATTCACACATGAAGATATTTAAAAAATACTAGATAAATGTATAATACTAGAGAGTTATTTGTTATTCAAATTTTTTTTCTTTGATGTCTAACATCAAAATAAAAATATTCGATTTTACATGTCAGTAGTCTCTAATATGCTTTAAGATAATCGTTATTCAGTTTTACTTTATTTAATCGAAGTCTTCTATTTTAATTTTTCATAGATGATTTCTCTCATCAAATCTGATCAACTTTAGCAAAAACAATCTTCTGTTCGACCTCGATACATCTGTTTAATTTCGTATTTTAATATTTCTATACCTCAATCGATAACTTACTTCCATTAATTCCTTGTGTTAATAAATATTCAGCTTCACATCTCGATACTTTTCCATGAAACCATGAATGTCTATCTAATGATGATAATGGTTTAATAAATACTTGTGGTACCCAACCAATTTGACCTTGAGTATTGCGTACTTCAACCCAATCATGATTTCTATCATGATAATTAACAATAGTTAAATGTTCTCCAACAGCTAGTGATAATTGTTTATCATCACTTGCATTAAATGGTAAACAAGCTATATAGATTCCATCATTCGTTGAATTTGTACGATGATGATGTAATGGACAATTTGTTGACGTTATGCTATTATTATTATTATTATTATTTCCAACGAATGATGTTGATATTGTGTCAGTTTGTGTTAATAACAATTCACGTGATAACCAACGTTTATCAGCTGTTAAACAATCGAAATTTCCATTATTATTTTGTTGAGATTGAATATGTGCAAGTGTATTACATGGTGTTGAACGAAATGAACCTGAAAATAATTTTAATTTAGTATTACTAGAAGATTTTTTTCGTGACATCTGTCGAAATAAAAATGAATCAAAATAAAAATATTCTTTGTTTTTCTCTTATTCTCTTTTCTCTCTGTCTCTCTCATGTTGGAATGTGAAATACGAAATTATTATTCTGATAAACAAAATATAAAATATCGAAATGTGTATAAATTACCTTGACTATGAATAGATATATCATCAACATTGGTATGTGTTGTTGCAAGCGATGATGTCGATATTAATGGAGATTCTGTATGTGAACCGGATAAATTAAGAAATGGTTTTGATAATGAACGACGACTTTTTAAATTGGGCGATGCACGTGTACTTGAATCTTTTATACTTTGATTGCCCATTTGAATAAAAATAGTTGTTCAACATTGGATTTAATACACATAAAAAATATCCATATGAATTAAGTCAAAAAAAAATTGATAAGAGAGATCCCTCTGTCAAGATAAATAAACAAAAATAAGCAATGGCGATCGCGGATTGAGTGTGTTCAGCTAATTGTCTGTTTTTCTTTCGGCCTCTCTCCCTTGGACAATCAGCTTTTTCGAGAGTGTCCGCAAGCAAAAGAATATGATTCACATGCTCTTGTCACAGGTATCCAATAGTCGAATCAAACTATTTATTGACTAGATGTCACTGTACAACAATACTACATTGGAAGAAAAAGATTTTAGTTTGTTATAAGTTCATTTCAATATGCTTAATAATTTTATGTTAATCATTTCTTTTATTGTTAATCTATTGATAGATCAATTGTAAGAATGTCTTCTGTTTTCAGATTATGTTCGCAAACATAGAAAAATAGGTCAATCCCTACAAACTATGTAGTTATTGATAACAATTAATCTTATCTTATTTTATAAACACAACATATTTCAGGCATTTCATAAACTTGTTGAATGAGCTAAATATGTTGATAAACTCTATCAAACGATTTATCATTCAACCAGCTTCAACTTGGACTGTTTTTCAATTCAACAAACGAAATTCATCTACAAAATCGTCATCAACTAAACTCCCTTCAAGTTATTATCATCATGCATCAACACTTCCATTTATTTAAAAAACATTAGGTCAAAATTTTGATGAAACAGTAAATAAATATCCTAGCAATGAATGCTATGTCTTTAAAAGTATGTTTCATTATTCAAATTTTATTTTTTCAAAATTTGATTTGTTTTTATGAATTTTGTTCATGTGAACAAAAACGATATACATTTAAATCATTCAAAGATGAAGTTGCTAGTTTAGCTGCTTCACTTCTTGAATTAAGTTGTAAAAAAACTGGTCGATTTGCTGTTTGGTTACCAGATACATCAGAAAATGTTTGTTCCATCAAAATTAGGTCTTATCAAAGTAAAGTATTCCATTGCTTTATTGTATAAATAAAGTTGAGTGCAAAAGCATACGTCTTCCACCATCTATCAAATCAATTGATTCATTGTCAGTATTTCGTCATCTTGCATCCGGACTTGACCAACAATCATTAACTAAAGAATTATCATTAATAAAAACTACAAACATTAAAATATATTATTCTTACTGGTAAACAATTATCAACATCCTTAACAATCCATTCACATAAATATTTATTAGAACATGCTGCTAAAATATATCATAATAAATTACATGAACGACAAGCATCTGTTAATCTTGATTCATTTATTGCAATATTTTATACATCAAGTACAATAGGACATCTAAAAGCAACAACACTAACAAGCTTGGATATGGTTAATATGTCGAAATGTGTAACTGACCACTTTGGAAAATGTTTTACTCGTCTTTCTGCTCTTATTCCAATGTTTCATATTTTTTCTGAAGTTGTAGGCGTCTTTAGTGTTGCAACATCGAAATGTCAAGTAGTTTTTCCAACTATTTTATCTCATCCCATAGCAACATGAAGAAAAATGTACAGCTATGATAGGTGTTCCAATTATTTTTCGTGATATATTAGATCATCCAGATCGAAAAAAATATGATTTAAGTTCATTAGTTTATTACGGATTAGTTGCTAGTCCAATGAATATAGACTTTTTACGACGATTAGAAAAAGAAATTCCTATTAAATGTATCGGACAACTTTTTGAACTGACAGAAAATGTTGCAATTCTTACGAGTAGTATATAGACTGGTGATAACAATTAAACACGTCGTTCGTCTGAACAGGATTCCCGATTGTTTTTGGGAGTGGGAGGGAGGCTAAAAATTTGACAGAAAGTCTATAAGTTTTTCACAGAAAGACGACTGTCTACGAGGAATTTGGCAAACATAGAATCGACTATCTGCTAGAAATTTGGCAGAAATAGCATCGACTTTCTGCAAGAAATTTCACAGAAAGCATCTTTGATTTAACTTTATTCCAGCAAATGCAGAAGCTTTCTGCTGAACTGAATTTTAAAAATTTCGCAGGAAGTATTATTAAAAATTATGCTATAAAGTCTGAAATTTTGGGAAGGAAAGCCCCCTCCTGTCTCCTCCCCCTAATCGGAGACCCTGCTTCTGTATTAGGATGATGTATGCCACGTTTAGAAATAAAAAAAGTTGATTGAGAAGGAAATTCAGTACCTATTAGTCAACAAGGTGAAATATGGGCATGAGATTTTCCTATCATGATTAAATATTATGGTGATCAGCAGAAAACAAATGAAGCGATAACATAATCAGGCTGGCTTTGAACAGGTGATGAAAGTCGAATAGAGGACGAGGGTTATCTTTATTATAATGATCGTCAAAAAGAACTAATTACTCGTAGTGGTGTTAATATTTATCAAATTGAAATTGAAAATGCAAATAGTGAACGTCCAAGTGTTGCTGAATCCCAAGTTTTTTCTTTTCCAGATACGTGTCATGATGATGAAGTATGTGCATGAATTAAATTAAAACTTAATACAACAATATCTCAAACCTGAAGATATTGTCAAATTTCTGTCTGATAAAATAGCTTTTTTTAAAAATTCCTAAGTATATTCGTATTGTTGATAAATTCATAGTAACACTAACAGGAAAAGTACAAAAATTCAAGATGTCTGCAATGATAATTAATGAATTAAATTACAACAAATAGTGAATCATAGGTTCTAATCTCTCTCTCTCTCTCTCTCTTTTGTACACTACGTTAGTTTTATTCTAATAAAAATTTTATCAATTGTTATTAGCTTCAATCATAAACGAAAACATTTGAATTTTTTCCATAGGGGAAGCATACTCAAAATAAAAAGAAAGAAAGACATAAATATTCTTTGTTTCTGTTTTTTAAAAAATCAATCAAACAAACAAAGAAACACACACACATAAAGATTGTTATGCGCGTCAACAATAACGTCGTGTCTATCTCAGTTCTCACTGATTATACACTCGGGGAGAAGAAAAGATAGAAGAATCATTTACATTGAACCAAAAGAAACAAAAAAAAAAGAAGCAGAAGAAAAGAAAATATATCGCTATAGAATATTATCGTTTGGTCGAACAAACGGTGAAGGTGTAGGAAGAATTGAAACACCTATTTTACTACTTGTTACACTGTTTCGTAGTAAACGTGGATCACGCGAAGAATTTGTGTCATTAGTGAATGTTTGTTGTTGTTGTTGTTGTTGTTGAGTTCGTAATGGTGCTGAGTAATTATTTAATGATGGTAATGGCGTTTTAAAACGTTCTAATCTTGCTTGTTCAGACCATAGAGACATTTTTTCTTGATATTTTCCAATACGTGGATCTGTTGATTTATCAGGTAATGGGTATGGTTTAAACGAAACTATTACTGGGCGTAAAATATAAACTGATGATTGCCTGGATGAACTACGGATTTCAAGTGAATCATGAGAATTATCACTACGAAAAATAAAAAATATAAATATAAATTGTAGGATAACAAAATTTTTTTCAACATACATTGATTGTGTTTGTCGTGGTTGTTTAAGTTGTTCAAGCATAGATATAAAATCAAATGATGGTCCAACAGTAGAATTTGTTGATGATGAATTTGATAATTGATCAACAGTTGTTGATTTTGTTGGACGAAATATATCTTGAATTGTTTTAGTTTTTAAAGGATCATCATTTATTATCATTGTTGGTGATAATGATGATGTTGGTGAATTAATGTTAGTTGATGTTTGTAAATGACCAAGATTTGTTGTTGGACGATTATAAACATCAGATGGTCGTTCATCAATATCTCCACGCATTGTTGTTGATGATTGACGATCACGTTCATCGATATCACGACCTAATTGAGGAGTTGATGATGGGGAATGATGATGTGGTGTTGTAGTAAAGTTTTTTGCTACAGCAGCATTAACAGCGGCTAATGCAGCAGCTCGCGCTAGATAGTTACAAGAGAAAAATTTTGAAAATCAAAAGTTTATTTATTTTTTTTTTTATTTTACCTAATAATTTCATATCGATTAATGAACTCGGTGGTGGTGGTAATGGTAAACCATTATTTGTTGGAAATAAAATTGGTACACGTCCTGTACCAAGTGTATTGATTGGAAATAAATTAGGTGGTGGCGGTGGTAAAATTGATGATGGTGGCCGAGTTAAATTTGGTGGAGGTAAACAACCAAATGGTGATTGTAAATTTATATTAGGATTTGACATTGCTGCTGGTGGTAAAGGTAATGGACAAGGTGAATTTGTTGTTGTTGTTGGCATAGAAGAAGTACTAGTATTAGCAGTCGAAACTGTTGTTGTTGACATATTATCAATCGTTGATGTTGTATTTTGAATCGATGATGACGATGAAGGACTAGCACTGTTCGTTGAAGAAACAATTTTATTTGTTATTGATTCTTCATTATCAGTTTTATCAGTTGAAAGTGTATCCGTAAATAGACTAGGTCTAATTTAAAAAGAAAAAAAAAAAAAGAAATAATTAGAAAATCTGTTAGCAAAATGCTTGCGAGATTAAAATATAAAGCAGGATGTAAATGTTGTTGGTAATTACAATGAGACTATTTTATGCTATCTATTTTGAGATACTTTTCTTCATCAGCCTTTTACTTAATCCTCCAGCAATACATGAAAGAATTAGCTCAAATATCATAACGAGATATTATTAATATACGATCTATAACTGGTGTCTGTCATGGTCTGCAGAGAATTCAAATCTTTATGTCTATACTTCAATAATCCTTTTAGATCGTATGTCACAAAATAAGAAAAAAATCATATTCGAACCGTTGAACAGGTGGACTTGATTGTGAAACATTAGTTGTTGTTTCTGTATTGGATGTATTTGTTGAATCAATTGATGTTGGAGTTGGTAATGGACCATTTCGTAAAAGTAAATCCATTAAATTAGGTATCATAGAAAAATTTGATGGATCAGCTATTGAACCAGGAACCGGTGGTGGAGGTGGTAATGGTGGAGCATTCATAACATCAAAATTAACTGTTGAAGGATTTGCATTATGATGAATATTAGGATTTGGATTGACACGATTTTGACGATTCATTTCATCTGAATCATTAAGAAACTAAAATAAATAAATAAATAAATAAATATTAAAAATAAGAGAATGATTCAAAATAATATACTCGTTCAAATGCAAAACGAATTTCTTCATTTGTTATTGGATCATGTGAAAATTTACATCGATCACCTTGCATACAATCTTTTGTACCGGTATGAAAAAATTTACATGGAAATTCTCCATGTAAATATGGACATAAATCATTTTTTTGACAATAACCTTTATTTTGAACATAATATTTGCATACTTCCATCTTTTTTTGTGGTTTAAAATCATGACTGAATAAACAATCGTTACCCTAAAAACCGAATATTAATTTTTGTCATCTTTCTCAGAAATAAAAACTTACTTTCATACAACGATTTTCAACAAAAAATTTACATAATGGTGGACCATGACTTGTTGATGAACCAGTATCAGATCGAAATCTTTGATTATTATTTGTATTTGCATTATTTCCACTATTATTATTACCTGTTCGATCTTGCCATGATGAACGATCACGATCATTTGGTCGACGATTATTTGGATTATTATTAGCAGTAGCTGTGTTAGTATTATTTGTATTACCATCATAATATCTTCTACCACGATTTTCAATATTCATAGAATTTTGTTGTTGATTTGTTCGTGTTTGTTTTGGACGATTTAAACGATCTTGTTTATCATCTGAATTCATATTCTCATCATCAATTGTGTCATTTGTTGGTGATGATGTTTCATCACTTGCTATTGATTGTTCACTTTTAGATTCATTAGTTGGATTTAAAGATGAATGTGGTTCAGTTGTTTCAATAGATTCTGAATTTTCATTCGATATGATATCAGACTGTTGCTTTCGTTGACCACGATTTTGTCCTCTCGGTGGCCATGTTGGACCCATCATTTCATCATCTTCACCATCTTCAATTAAATCTGGTAATGGTCCACCACGAAATCTTCCGCGCTACAAAAAAAAGAAACAAAAGACTTTTGTTTTTTTTTCTCAATTTTGAATAAACTCAAATTCATACTTTAAATTGTCTTCGATTTCTCTCATCACGTTCTTCACCACTATGACGCCGTTTTCTACGTTGTTCATGTTTATTACGTTTATTATCTTGTTGTCCTCCCGAACTATTCATACGTTGTTGGCCTAAATGATGATGATGATAATCACGACGTCGAAATTTTTGTGAGCCCATATTTAAATGATTATTCATTTCAATTGAATTATCTTGTTCTATGCTTGATTCATTTGTACTATTATTATCACGATTATTTTCTTTAGCATCTGTAGATACAAAAAAAAAACAAAAACCAAGAGATGATTTAATTTCGAATCTTTTTTTTTAAATATTTCTGTTCAATACATACCATCTTTTTGTTGAGAAGGAGTTTCATCAAATTCTTCTTCAACTTCACCCTCTTCAAGTTCACCATCTAATAGATGTTTTTTATGAATTTTTTTTCTTTATCATAAATTTCATATAAATCCTACCTTCTTTTTCTTCATTATCACTGTCCGTAGAATCACCGACATGTTTGTCCAATGTCTGACTCGTCCTGTGCACATATGAGAAAATAGTTTAAAAGAAAGAAAAAGCAATATTGGATTTTTAATTTTCGAATCAGCTTTTTTTTCCCCCTCATTGCATAAATACACACATATCTACATATATATACACACTATGTTTGTTTTTCTCCTTGATCGATTAGATTTTTTTTTCGCTTTTTTTTTTTTTTTTTTTTAAGAAACCTACCAGGGTATCCTAAGGGTCAACATGATATTTTGTTGTATATGAGATAAATCTATATGCTGTTGTTATTTATATTTTGTATTTTGAGAAATGTTTTTTTTTTAGAGAATTCAATATATTCCACGTGAATTCTTCTGTATTTTTGTTCGAATTAAGATTTTTGTATGAAACATTTTTTTTGCTTCATCCATTAGATGTAAAACCTGCACGCACACACACTAATATACAGAGAGAACACGTGTGATAAGAAAGAATTAGAAGAAAATGATCTTATGGTTTTTAAAATTGGCGCGAAGAAAATAGAAAAAAAAAACAACTAATTGTTCACTTTGTTGTATTTCTCATGTCTTGATTATGAACTTGTTGCTAATTATCTATAATTGTTATTAATTGAAACTGTCAATTGTCATGGTTGATATAGTTTCTAAACGTATTCGAAAAAAACAAATTTGTTTAGACATATGAACAAAAAAAAGAAATATTGTTGTATATTATATGTCAAAATTTCCATTTATTATTCTCATCTCTAGTTTTCGTCTTTCTTTCTTTTTTTTTTTTTTTTCTTTTGTTTTGTCATGGAAAAACCAATATCAAAAGGGAATGATTATTATGACTCATGAAACTTTTCCGGGATAATTTTTTTTTTTGTTTTCTTTT